AATTAGTTCAAGTAATGATAAGGGCACACGGGTCACCGGCCACAACCTATATTATATGGGCTTGCCACGAAGCACAATACATACAAGAGCTGTACTTTGACTTCATACTAGCGCCCGAATCGACGCACGCACACAGACAAACGTCATTTACACGGCCGCTAACCAATCTTGGTAAGACAAATCTACGCAGTGCCACGTCGCGCGCCGCCGAGACTGGTTAATGGCCGAGGTAGGTTAGCTGCGGCGCGCCGTCTGCCTCCGTTTCGATTCCGTAACGTGGCAATAGTAACTGTACACACACAATAAAAATCGACACTAATATATTTTACATTTTGTAGGGACCAACCCTAGCGCTCCGCTCAGTCATAGGTATCTATTTCAAGAAAATGGCTGAGTTACGCTACTGCTCTTGTATTTATTGTGCACGAAGCGTGTGGCGGCCACTGGAGTTAACCATGTGCGGCAAGTCCATATAAAATGTTTGAGACCTACAGGAAATATGCCGGTGGTGGCGTTTTGTGGTTGTGGCCGGCCGCACACGGTGCGGCGACACTAATGCATACTGCATTTTCCTAAAGATTTTTTGCAAAAATAATCCTAAGGAACCTCCACTATACCGAAGATCACAGTATAGAACAGTAACTTTAGGTACTAACACCACTGAAAGGCAGTTATTTTCCTGATGCTGTTTTGTAAGATGGCGGTTACTTTCCCAGGCGGACGCCCGCCAGCAGACGGACCGCCTTCTGTATGGTCGAGCTTACTTAAGGAACTGTTTTGCAAATAATCTAAAGATTACTCTTTATTTGAGGAGCTCGATGGCGCATGTGGTTAGCGCGTTCGGCTGCGATGGTTGAAGTTATGCAACTTTCGCAGTGGTTGGTCATTGGATGGGTGACCAAAAACATCTATCTCGAGTTCCTCCGTGCTTCGGATGGCACGTTAAGCCGGTGGTTCTGGTTGCATCTGCAGTCGTTAGCACCCGCCAATCCACACTCGGACCGCGTGGTGGATCATGGCCCAATCTCCCTATTCCATCCATAGGGAAGGCCTGTGCCCCAGCAGTGGGGACATTAATAGGCTGATGATGTATGTATACTCTATATTTGTATTAAAACAAAATGACAAAAGGTGTTTGCATATAAAGCATTTGTTAAAAACTTAGAATCTTAATAAAATTCTTATTAATATGGCTAAATAGGTATTTAGCCATATTAATAGCATGCAAAAAAAATCTAACAGGATTTAGGTAAAGGGAGATTTAGGAAAAAATACCTTCGATCAACAATTGTATATTCGAAGGAAAATACAGTATGCCTTATACATTCAGCGGCAGAAAAAGCGGCTCACAGACAAAAATGGCCTTAACATTATTATAATAATGAATTTCGATAAAATTATTGATTGTTTTAAGAGATAATCCGTTTTTATATCAATTTTAGTCTAAAGCCACGCGGAAGTATCTGTTATTTGATACAAACATTAAATGTCAAGGAAATATAATTTTCTTGCCAAATTTTCTGTAATGAAAAACATTAAAAATTACTTTTGTACAAAAACAAATTACTTTAAAATGCTCTGACGCATCTCATCGATTACATCGTTAATGGGAATGAGCAACAAATCACTACTACAGTTCAAAAACTGAAGTAATACACACAAAATTAAAGAAAAAAATATTTACATTGCCTTCCTCGTGTACGTTAGATAAAAGTACTAACAAAAAAATGAACATAACAACTTAATCTCAAATAACTCACTTCTTCTAACTAAACAATCCATTTGACAGCTACCCTCATTGAAATTTACCATAATATTGTTTAAAATGTTTACAATATCGCAATAAGCGCCCGGGCCGCTTTTTCTGCCGCTGAGTGTACATCCACATGAATGAGATGGGTGATTGATTGATTCGAGAAAAAAAATTAGTAAAGGATATTCGCTATATACTCTTCTCTTATATAGAGAATTATGACGTGATAAAAAAAATCTGCATTAAAATTATTGTAGTAAGGTGTTGTTTTTCAAATTAAACATCTATATTGATACTGAAGCTACCCTTCATTTAATTTCCATAGTAATGCAACTAAACACACGAAATTCCACCACTGATCCGGCTTTTTTCGTTCTAACTGTTGCCAGTAGCTACAGTTGAGATTTTGATAACCGATATCACCACTGTCAACAATGGTTTTTTTTTCTCGTTTGTACTCAACGGAAATGAAGGCAGAGGTCACGACTTGGGACAAGCTTTTCCTACCTACTATTTGAAGAATCTCAACGCTCAAACTTGAAAGGTCTAATTTTGTCCAACAGCACACAAGTAGTGAGTGAAATTCCAAAAAAAATAACGGAATTTACATAAACGTCAGTGTAATATTTCCTTTACTGTAAAATTTTCTAAGTTGTCTCTAAGTAGCTAGGCATATCTATTGCAGTCAGTGTACGGTCGATTGAGCAAGAAATTACCCTTTCGGCTAAACCTGTGGTTAGCCACAGGCATTCGTGGTGCTTGTCGGATACATCATCCGCTAACGTTTTTATTTAATAATATATAAAAAAAACAGATTATGCAATATTGCCAATATACCGTAATGAAATCAACATGGTACCGCTTTGTTTAACGTAATAATCGCTTAAGTGAACTACGATTATTTTTGGTTATTATATGAAGTTTGAGGAGCTCGATGGCGCGGGTGGTTACCGCGTTGGGCTGCCAACGTTGAAGTTAAGCAACTTTCGCAGTGGTCGGTCATTGGATGGGTGACCAAAAATCTTCTATCTCGAGTTCCTCTGTGCTTCGGAAAGCACGTTAGTACCCGCCAATACGCACTGGGCCCGCGTGGTGGATCATGGCCCAATCTCCCTATTCCATCCATAGGGAAGGCCTGTGCTCCAGCAGTGGGGACTTTAATAGGCTGATGATGATGATGATATGAGTGACTAACGCTGCGTTCTTGGCTAGGTAATAATCACATAGTACATTTATTTTTATTTTGAGACTTTACACTATTACATTTATTTTTATTTTGTACATTTTTTTTTATTTTAAGTCACAAAAGGCACTTCGAGACATAAATTTAATTTAAAGGTTGTCAAAGTGCTGCGATTGCCTTATTCTATTGAACAGATAACTTAGTTTAGTAACGGCTGGTTAGATAATAAACAGGAAGTGAAAAAGTATTTCTTGTACTAAATCTAATGTAGCAAATAAACAGTTTTCATTTCCTTTTATAGAATGAAATTAAATCATACTTAGACAGTAATTGACGTCTTTGAATGTTGTTAGAACAGTGGCAGTTATACAATTTATGATATTGTTGGGCATTACACTAGCGCCATCTAGGCTATATGATAGTTGGTTCTTATAAGGGCGTACGAACATACACCCTTCTAAGAACAAATTTTAAGAAAGTAAAAAAACATTAACAATGCGCTCTTGAAGCAATATTTACACTGAAATACGAGCTGGCAGATGGTGTCGAGTAAACAAAAGTAAATCTACCCGAATACGGGCGTACTCGACCACAGAACAGAGAAAGAAGTTAGAAGGACCTTGTGGGTGTGGTAGGCACGCCACAGTTATGTGTGAGCAAATGCTCTTAACTTGACCAAAACTTGGTTCTGATTGCATCGTTGCTCTCGGGTGTGAGCGCTGATTGGTTCGATTGTTTGATTTCGCGTCGTTTGATTGGCTATTATCTATTAGGTGGAAGTGTAGTAGGGGTGAGCCGGCGACATCGGTTCCCGTACATATAGGGTATATTCCGATATATATACCAGTATACTGGCCAGTGCTAATGACGTCACGATTCGACGCTATACTGGTGAATTGTTCCGAAATATACTCGCCAGTGCACTGACGTCATAAATCGATGAAATATTAAAAATAGTGCGAATAAAGAAGATTTTTTATTCACCTCATCAAATAAAAGGAATTCTTTTTGTTCGGATGCCATTATTGTTCTTTAAATAAAAAGGATATAAAATTCGAATGCATCTCACGCACGCTTGGTCATATGTCATATTCGTTTTCTCGGTAAAAATATGGTAGCATACCAGTACAATATGGCATCGGATTCGTGACGTCATTACTAGTGGCCAGTGTACTGATGTATATTTCGGAATACACATGGGTCTATTGTCACCCTTCTAACCTCTTTCTGTGTTCTGTGTACTCAACTTCGTTCATTTACACTTAGGCGTTTATCCGAATTCCATTGGCACTCATATTCGTGCTAACGACCAAGTGTACACAAATCATTCGAACGGAGTGTCCGAATTGCCATATTTTAATATTTACATCGTTAACGTTTTAGATTTAGGGCTAATTAAACGAAATGCCCATAGAGGGTCAAGAGACTGAGAATTTGGGAACATTTTAATTTTGTGCTAATCGGAAATGTCGACAATATTATAATCAAAAATTAATCTTCAACAGCAATTTCGGAACGATACATACCTACGACAGCGATTGAAATGCAAGTAAAGTGTTCGTTTGCAATTGAATAGTCTAGTATAGTGAACATTGAATGTAAAATTGTGTGTTTACTATAGAACTGATGTCGATTCCAGCATTATTTTCCAAACCTTAAAATTGAATTTGACAACAGTATATCCTTGGCATTCGCTATAGAGAATGAAAAGGAGAGATCGACGTAAACTTCAGTTTTAAGTTTAAAGAATCGACACCATTGTGTGGTGAATAAAGGACTGTCAAGCGTTAATTGGCGTTATAATTTCAACTCCCATCCTGACACATAACAATTTTAGGTATTAAAAAGTTTAGTTTCAACAAGTAAAAAACTTTATTAATTTATATATTCCATCAATAGGCCAATTATATTGCCGGCGGCTTGTTAGCATTTCGATAACGATTCGTTTTACATAACTCCTGCGGTTTATTAAATATCGATAACACGGAAAATTATACTAACTAACGAACTAATTCTCCTGCGTAATGTTTAAATTAAACTGTTGATATGAGCGACTCAACTTACCTCATTCGGGATTTATTTGCTTTATCATTGATCTGAAACAATATTAATGAATATTAATTAATTATTTAAGTATATACTTTGACTAATTACGAATTATTTAGTTAGATTACTGACTTCGAGGTTATTATTAAAAATCCCTTTAAGTTGACTATATTTGGCATCTATAATAAATGTATAATTAAAGAAAATTTTCCTAGAAAAAGTTCGGCGCGGACCAGGCAGCAGACGGAACTCGAACCGGCAACCTTCGCTATCCGGGCGATTGCACTGACCATTATGCTACCGTGGCCCCCCGATGGTCGTATAAAATTTTCTGCGTATTCGCCCATGGAGTCCCGTCTGCTACCTGGTCCGCGTGGATTTTTTTAGAGTAACTAACTGTCTTTAGATTTAAAACATCTAGCAGTTCAATGCTTTAACATATAAATTAAATATAAATTTAAAAAGGTATAATAATAGTTCTCGATGGGATGGGATGAGATCAGTACCTCAATGGAGCAGGTGGTTAGCGCATTCACCATGCGATCGTGAAAGTTATGCAACTTTCACAATGGGCGGTCATAAGGTTGACAAAATTTAGTTAGAAAATTAAAAATATAAAACTTCTTTATTGTGAAAGCTATACCAACATTTTAGATGCAAACCAATATTGCACTTGGCACACATTTTTCTAGTGCATTGGTGACAATAAAGAAGACATCTTCGTTGGGAGCAGTTAACTTCAGAGTGATCGTCTGCACTTCCTGCACTCCTCACCTCGGATGGTACTCTCACCTGCATAGGGACACTACAAGCTGAATTGCGGCTCGGAGATGTACCATATTTTTGCAGGTATATAGTAGCCACATTACGTCGAAAAACGCAGAAGGTCCGATTGTGTTCAGACTGTCTTCTTATAAGCCATGCATTTTGGCAAGCTGCATCTAAGCCAAATGCAAAGAGAGGGAACCACCACTTTTTACCACGAAGGGATACTCTCATGGAGTCAACATAATCGTCAAAACGGTCTATTTCACTCATGTACTTGTTGTACATCTTGATAATGGCAGGGCAATCAATTTGAATTGTTGTTAGTTTTTTGTCTACAAATCCAATCCGATCCACTTTTGTGATCATATCAGCTATAAAATCAACATTGTCTTTACCATAGAGCTTCTCAAAACATTCCACTGAACTTATCTCCTTCTGGGATTTACTAAAAACTTCTTCGTCACAGTCTCCTTTCCCGCAAGAAGTAAAAGAAATATTGCTGACATTGGCATACCATTTTTTTACAGAATTGGCTTTTTTGTTTTTTCTTTGGTGCAGGGACCACTATACCTTCGCCTTCTTCTAGGTTTAAGAACGATTTTCTCCTGAGGTCGAAGACCTATTTTGTATTTCCACATGAGACCGAAGCATACGATTGGGAAAATGAAGGATATTAGCTTCAATTTCATCTCCACTGTCTACGTCAGTCACTGCACCATCTTCAGGAGGAAATAAAATAATATCTCCTGGGTCATCCTCGACCTCCAACAAACATTCATACAGCGATAAGCCTAAAATATGTAGGCAATAGTCTTGTGATTACTTTTTATGAATTCAAACAGTGTATGGTTATTGTTATGCCCAGTGTCACACACAGGTGACACACCACATATCCACAGTTATATCATAAATGCTCATGGCTATTTTTAATGTATAAAACATTTTTAATACTACTTACGTATTCGTTCATTACATGAAATAACAAAAAAATAACAATACTTATGGTCTAGGCATATTTATTTCACTTTATATCTCAAGAAATCACGCAGACTCTAGGACAGGTATAATTTCGCTCAAAAAAATGAATGAATTTGAGAGACGACGTTCGGTTAGTGCTGCCCGAAAAAATAATGAACAGTGTCACTTATTCGCGTTACTACTGTAGCGGTAAAATAAAAAAAATGCATTGCGTGTATTAAAAAAAAATAAACAAACTTCCGTCACCTACAAGTGACACTGGGAATTGAAGAGTTAATGACAGTCGTATGACGTCACATAGCAGTGAGACGCCATAATGTCCAGAGAAACGTTTCCGCGGCAACTTTAAAATGATATTTTTGATTTAGTTTTTTACTGAAATACGTAATAGAATGATGAATATCAACTTTTTATATTAATAAACAATAAATAACGTGAAATCGTTTTCTAAAACTTGTCAAATACCCAATTCCATTGGCAGTCGTATTCAGACTAACGACCAAGTGTAACCGCGCCATTAAGATTGGTGTTCAAAAGTTTTTCATTCGACCTCCTCCGATCGCCGATTTTTTATTCGATTTGGTTGATCTTTTATATTGTATGATGTGCTGTAACTTTATAGATTTTCATTTCATTTGGTTACAGCAAAAAAAAAATACACGATCCCTACTTTTATGGTCGTGTCGACTTGATACAAGTATTTATTAAGGTGCAAAACATCACTCATAACAATAAATAAAATCGACATTAAATCGTTAATCGCCTAATTAAAGCATTATTTATGATTTTAAATGAATACTAGCAAATATTTATCTATTTACTTAGACACAAACATTACGAACGAAACGATAAAATTATTCAAGACTTAATTAATGGTTAAATTAACACCTATTAATATTCATATGGGAAAATAAACTCCTAACGATTTACTCGTGCGGTTGACATGCAATAAATTAAAGAGACTTTATACAAAATTTACATAAAAAATTTAACCAGTATGAATTTCAGTATTTTTTGCATTATAAAATTAAGTAATTTCATTAGCATAACTAATAAGTTTTAGGAAGGGGAAAGCGGATCGCCCGTCTGGGGAAGTCAACTCCACTTTACAGAAAACCACAATAAAATAACCATACCCTTTGGTGTTGTGTTTCTGTCTGTGGTAAGGTAGGGCGCCTCGGGGTACGGGATTGAATCAGAGTAGGCAAGCGGCGCAAACGATCTTATACTTATATATTTTTTGTATCGCAAGCGTCTATAGGCTATGGTGGCCGCTTAACATTAGGCGGGGTTAATGCTTATTTGCCACACTTTCAATAGAAAATTTGAAAATGAGCAGTTGATTGTCAGGTCTTTCAAGGTCTCCCGCCGTAGATTTGGGAACCGATGCCGATGTCGTAACTTTCGACTTCCACTTGTAAAAGCCTAAATTGAATAAATGAACATTGAGTTTGAATTGAATAATAATTATTTATTTATTTTTTAAGCATGTAACTGTTTGATGTTTAAATCTAAAGAAAATATAACTAGAAAATAGCAGCTTAAGAATGGCTAAAAGAATTTCGACGCGGCAATCAGGGCCGCGGTAGCATAATTGGTCAGTGCATTCGCCCGGATAGCGAAGGGTGCGGGTTCGAGTCCCGTCTGCTGCCTGGTCCGCGTGTCATTTTTTCTAGTTATATTTTCTTTAGAATCAATTATTTGCCAAAATAGGGTTACAATAGTTGTTAGGTATTTCTTTAGTTTCCAGCATATTTTGTTGAATGTCAGCGTGCAAATATTTCAGGATATAGGAAAAAAAACATTAATAAGGTCCAGTGACGTTAAAATAAATAAAATAAATTTAAATATAATAATAATACTCAAATTCACAGAAAATAATTACAATAAAATTGAATAAATATTACGATCTAACCAATGAACTAACTAAAAATGTCTATCTAGTTAATTTATATGCGGTAGAAGTAGGAGCGAGAGGTATACCAGCAAAATCTCTCTATAACCTTCTAAAAGACCTAGGTCTGTCGAGAACTGCAGTAAGTTCAATTTTGGAATGAGTAACTAAAGCTGCAATAACTGGCTCCTAACAAATTTGGCTAGGAAGGGCGGGCAACTCGAGCAGTGAAGGTGACCGTTGATGCGCATCTTAAAGGGGGCCTCCTTCAACCTACACCTGGGTCGCGAGCCCCGAGAACTGCTCAGAGTTTCTCTCTCTCCCACACGATGGACCCGACACCCGCACGATATCCATGGATTGCTAAGAAGTTCGTCTCTACTAATCTATTCATTCATAAGTAAAATAGTCAAAAACAATTGCAGCAATATTGAATCAAATCAGATAATAAGATACATAATATATAAATACACACGAATGTCAAAATTACTTAAATAAGGACATTGTATCATTTCAACAATCATTAATTGAATAGAACATTTTGTTAATAAAAATTTAATGAATGCAGTCCTAAATTTAACAACTCACTGAGGGCCTCACTTGCACTAAAGTTCTTAAATCAAATTAAGTTTTAATCATGTCTAAGACACCATTCCGTCTTTGTCAATCGTCAAAACTCAAATAGAGGTAGAAGGCTTTTACATGATTAACTTTTAAAATTGAACTTATATCATCATGTGTATCAAACACATGAGAACAGATAAATTTAATTTTCACGATACGCTCAGTTGCCATACAATTTTAAGTACAAGCCACGTCTTCTTCAATGAAGGTCTGTGGCTAACACATTTGTTACATGTGGTATTATAACGTACTAATCATACCACTCTAATAAAATCGACTTCACTCGCTATGCTAACGAAAATTCACAAAACATTTATAATCAAAATTAGCCTTTAATCAGCTTGGGCAAGCAATCAGTTTGATTAAACATAATTATCAGGAACACACGAATGCTATGCTAAACACATTCATGCGAAAATACTCTGTTTGCGTCGCATTTGATGACGCTTCGGTAACCATGGTACCGCCACGGCGTTTTTAAAACAACAATTATTATATTTATAAGCCGACTCGACGCTGTCATTCTCGCCGGCCAGCGGCTAGTTCCTTTCATTGTGACAGTGATGTGACATCAAAGGAAAACTTTCCACAAATTATGAAAATATTATTGGGGTTAAATTTATATTTTACGGCCATTGTAACAGCCGCCTACAACCTTGCGGGGTCATCATTAGTACCCTTAGAACAAACCAATATCGAATTCGAATAGTTAAATTCGACTTCGACAATCGTCAAATGTCAAGAAGTTTTGTATGGGAGATTTTTAATTTTCTTTGCGCCTATATA